ACACTACATATAATAGCTCTATAATCTGTGCTTGCTAATAAAAAAAAATGGCTTTCCTCTCTGGTATTGGCTGTATTTCAATACTTTGTTTCTCGCACATCTATTTACAGTAATGGACTGTACAAGAGAGAGCAATATTTCTGTCAAGGCCCATCCTTTCGTGGAAATTGGGACATATGTCTTGTCATGTCCTCTGCTGCTTTCCTCGTTTCCATTTATAAGCAGTAAGCAGTAAGTATAAGCACAGCTGTCCCCTTCATCGTTTGCAGCTCTGCATGTGTGTGTGCAGTGATGGGGTTTTTTTGCCCTCAGGTGCAGTCATTATGAAGGATTATTGCCTTTCCGCGTGTACAAATCATTCCCGTTGTCTTTCCGAATAACATAATTTAATGTCTCTGAATGTGAGTGTGTGGTAATGCACAGAGGTCAAGCTGAAAAGGAGGGGCAGGGGCTATTGTCTGGGAGGAGGTGGAGGGGCGGAGTGCAGCCTCCTTACGGCGAGGAAATATGACCTGCGGGCTTCTACCAGCTCCCGTGGGATTGCATGTGACAGAGGAGCGCCACCTCTGAATAAATCTCTTTTCTTTATTGCCTTTTTTCTCCCTTGCCTTCATCTCTCCCTCTTGCTCGATATACAGTGTCCTCCAAAAGATAAAAATAAATCACATGTTTATTGTCTGGCTGTGTCTCGCTTGCTCTTCTCTCCCTCAAGTAGTTCTATGTTTGCAGAGAAGGTTATCACGAGTCAGAGGTCCATTTCAAATGTACATCTTATAATAAATGGTTAAAGCAGCACCTCTGGAGATATGTCCTCCATCTCCCTTTTGCCTTTTTTCTTTTATATGACTCAGTGATGGCTCCATCAGTTTGCCTTTGCCTCAAGAAAAGATAGGATAATATCATCCCAGTGTCATAAAACTACAGAAGCATCAGAACTTCAGCTCAGGACTAAAAAGTATTTTACATAAAAGTTAAAACAGAGGCGTCAAACGTGCAGCCCGGGGGACAGAACCAGCCCACCGGGGGCTCCAGTTCGGCCCATTAGATGGCTTTGTAAAGTGTGAAAAATGCAATAAAGAAATTAATTATTCAATGTTTTTGAGTTAAATTGCTCTACCCCATGTCGGGATGAAGTGCCAACATTACAATAAAAACTATTTTTACATTTAGACAATTTGTTTGAATTATAAAGATATAAATTACTGTTGTTGTTTATGAAACTCTGCATGTGAAGGGTTTGTGCCTTTATTCACACTGACAAGCCTGGCAGAGATAGGAGACAAAAGATTTCTAAGACTGTAGAAATGAAAGTAGTGAGACATGTGTCTAAAGATCCCACAACGACTGCCAAGACACTCACGAGTTAATTAGTTAAGTCAGGAATTGTAGCCTCAAATAAGACAATGACCCTGCACAGGAAGAACTGTGAGGACTGGAGAAATCCACTTCAAGCCACTCTGAAGTGTGCTAAGGACAATCTAGAGAAAGATTATGAATACTGCAAGCACATCCTTTGGTCATACAAGCCAAAACTCAAGCTCTTTGGCCACAGAAACGCTGCTTATTAGTGATGGGATTTCCGGCTCTTTTTAGAGAACTTTCGGTTCGGCTCACTAAAAAGAGCCGGCTCTTTCGGCTCCGAACTGGCTCTTCAGGTTGTTTTGTTGCTTTAATTAATTTATTATTAATAATATAAAATTATGCACAAAAGGAATTACTAATGTAAAAAAAAGTGGTTTTATTCATATATGTTTATATATAAATATATGCGGTGGCCCCTAGAGACAAAGCACATACAAACTCCAAAACTAGCATTTCTAGCATAGGTGATCTAGGTAGCTCTGAACTTCCAAAACAGAGCTACCTAGATCACTTAAATTACACCATTGAAAGCATGAAAGCATATGTGTATTGTTTGTGTATTTATATACAAGCATTCATATAGAGTCAAATAAAATTTTAAAAACGTTCATTTACCTGTTACTACCACACACCAAATCCGGTCGTTGGTACTTGCTGGCTTGTGTAGCCACTAGGTAACAAAAGCTCAACACTGCCCCTAGCATCCTGGAGCACTTCTGTTGTCTTTTGTACGTGTTTTGAGTTTTTATGTGCTTCTGAGTTTTTACGTGTTTTGGAGTTTGTACATGTTTTTACGTGTTTTGGAGTTTTTACGTGTTTTTACGTGTTTTGGAGTTTGTACGTGCTTCAGGGTTTGTACATGCTTCAGGGTTCGTACGTGATTTGAAGTTTGTACATGCTTTGTCTAGGGGCCACCGTAAATATACTTTTATTTATTCACGCCACATAAAATGTAATAAATAAATCATATAATACAAAAACCTACTAGTCACAGTTCAACTTTTAACTATTTAAATTTTCAGCTTTTTCCTTTTAAACCAATTTAAAGTGAAACAACACAAAACACTGCAAAGCACAACACAATTAAATATAAATTAAAATATGAAAACAAAAATAAGATGCACATTCTCTGTCATATGGGCCTGTATGTATAAACTTTCTGTATCCTTTATCATCTGCAACTGAAAATAGTTGTGGATGATTACTATACCTTTCTAATGTGATGTTGTTGTCCCTGGCTCTCTTTCTCTCTCTCTCCCTCCTGCTCTGTTCCTGTGCTACTGAGTGCAACTACCGCCCCTCTTCCCAGCATAAAGCACAAGGCTCGCATGCTGAGTGAAGCCGAAAAAAGTGCGAGAGAGAGGGTGAGAGAAAGACAATAAAACCCCCACGGCTCGCGATAAGGAGCCGGCTCGCGATAAGGAGCCGGCTCGCGTCGTTCACGTCAAAGACCCGGCTCTAAGAGCCATTTCGTTCGCGACCGACCCATCACTACTGCTTATGTTAGGGGAAGGAAGGGAGAAAGAACACCCATGGTGAAACAAGGTGGTGGGAGCGTTTCATTGTGTGGATTCTTCAATGTGTCTGGAACTGTGACTCTCTTCAAGGTGGAAGGAATCATGAAGAAAGAAGGATATGTTAAGATTCTGAAAGAAAACCTCAAATAGTCAGCAACAAAACTGGGTCTTGGTCATGAGTTTATCTTCCAACAAGACAACAATCCAAAACATACATCGCACATCTTGGTGAAGAACCACCTTCAGAAGACCAAAGTGAATATTAGATACTGAATCCCACTTACAACTGAGGACCATCAAATCTGGAGGAGATTCTCCAACGAGATGTTTGTGAGACTTGCTGAGAACTAAAACAAACAAGCTGTTATCCGTCTGTTGTTGGCGCACTGAATGTGAAATTTTCAGAATATTTCTTCACATTTTTAAAGATATTAGACATTCAGAGGAGCAGGGCTTTTCATATTTATGCTGACCAATTGAGATCAAAGTGGATTGTATGTGCTCCTGAAGTAAAAGGAGTTAAATAAATAAATCTGGTTGGATCTACTTGAAAATAGTGAAAACGCGACCAGTAGATGTCCCTGTATAACTCTCCAGACATCCCTTAGCCAAAAGAAAGGTAAAAGTGTTTCACCCGTTATTGCTGCATGACAGAACAGGGGTTCCTAATGTTGGAAAATTGTAACTGAACAGAAAAACAACAACATATTTTGGTATAATTTAAGATGTTATGGGATTAAACTCGACTTTCAGCCAAACATGCCCACAGGGGTGAAAGAATAGTGAAATGAAAAAAGGAGTTATTATGCACTCTGTCTGGGAAAAGATGCTGCTTTTTGACACATCATTACAGCTCATTATACGATTCAGTTCACGCCCTTTTGATAACGACTGGTGCTGCCTTCTGGTGCATCTCGGAAATTTACCGCTTACGTTGTAGTAATCCTGAAGTAGCCGATGATTATTAGAAACGTAATATTAAAACACAAATACCGGTATAAAATTAGTTATATGAGGCAATTTACATCACTATCTACTTCTGCTTCTACTCGTGATGTAAATGGTGTAGTTCATCACACTTCATTACAATTGTTTTAAAGCTTTAGTTATCTTTTTTTAAATTTTATTTGCTGAATCTTTTGAATCCAGCTGCAACGCTGGAGTGATGTACATTTTAAAGAATCATAATTTTTGATCATGCATGCTGCATTAATTTACTTATTTTAAGTTTATTTTTTAATTTTTTTTAGCCTGAAAATCTACCCATGCTTTCTACTCTAACTCAAGGTATTTTTGGTAAGAGTCAAATTTCCTCTCTCACACAGTGGTGTACTCTGTTCCATAAAAACATTAAATAAAACATTAAATTAATGTAGTAAATTTTGTAAGTTTAAGTTTCATGAAGGAGGATAACTCAGGATGTGCTAAAAGGCAACCAAGCAATGCAAGGCTTGCTTGTTGTTTTGGGCACCAGGCCAGTAGTGAAAGGTTTGCAGTGATAGTCTGAGATTCCTAACCTCCCTGAGGGGGCACACCTGAGTTCCCTTTCTCCCACTGTAAGTGGCAATAACAATTCTGTTTAAACAAACCTTATGAAAGCAATGACAGTCACTAAGTGAAAATGAAAAGAAGTTATTGTTTTGAAAGTGAAAAAGAAAGAAGAAAAAGAGAGAGTGGAGAAATCTAGCACCTAAATGCTGCCTAAATCTTATCTAACCAGCTGTGCCGTAACAGAGAGTTACATTCACAAACTGTTTTTTTTTGTTTCGTTTTTTTCTTTTCTTTTTTTAGAATATTTATAAAGTAATGGCAGTAAAGGCTGGATGAAGGGGCCCCCTGGGAATTTTTGCCCTGGCAGTTTTTAGAATTATCACCGCCCCTGCCATGTTATTGGTCCCTTCAGTGGAAAAAGAAATCCTGCAAAAGCCCCTGGCTTTAAATTTTGTTGGAATCTGGTCACCTTAATGTGAATACTTTTTCCCAGTTATATATCAGCTATATCACCTTTAAGATGTGTATTTTCCTACTTCCATCTACTTTTATTGTGCATTGAGCCTCCATAATGTTCCCATTTCCGACAGCACCGGAAGGCCACTTCACTCCCTCCCCCTCTCGGCTTGTTCTAGCAGCAGTCCCGCAGAGCAGAAGTACCAGCATGGCGCTCGGTGAGGCTGGAGTTCCGTTGTCTCTCTTGTATTGTGTTTCTCATGTCAGGTTTTACTCCACTATCTGATAGAGGTCTGCGATTCCTGCGCGGTGTGCGCCTCTAAACAAAACCTGTCTGGGTAAAAACGGCAGCATTTTCCTGCTGGATACTCACAGAGAAGTGGTTTGTAGATATCTGAGAAGGCTTGCTAACTAGCAAGGAGGCAAAAAAAAAAAAATTACGGGAGATACAGAGCAACAAGAGGAGGAGTCCTGTTCTGGAAGAGGTAAGCTGAATTACATAATAATAGTAGTTGAAGTACTTAGGAGTGGTATAAATATATTTGTTTGTGTCTTAAAGTTGTTAAAACTCTTTATTTTCCAAGTGCGCAAACTTAACTGTTTGTTGGGTCTTTTTTAAAGGGGGACAACGTTAAAGCAGCCTCCTTGTTGTGAAGCGATACTTGCTAACAAACTTAGTTTAATTTGCTTTCTTGTAGTTCAGTTCGAGAATAATCCACCTCAAAAGAAAGTAGCATAAGAATAATCAGTTACTGTTTAGCGTCGTTATGTAATGTTTTCGTTTTTTGTTACAATGTTGCGGTATAAGCGTAAGATTTTGTCATTTTAAAAAAAGAAAAAAATGAGGATTAATAATTAGTTTGTTGTGTTATTAGGATTTTTTTTTTAACCAGGTTTACTTAGTCGTGTGAATCCTCCTGTATGACTCCGTTCTTTAAACACAAATCACTGCACTTCAGTGCTTCACCGCTGCTGCAGGTTTCTTTTTTGTGTCTGGCTCGGCGGTGTTAACCGTACAGTCAGTTTAAAGGGTCCGAGGATCCAAGATCACAGTTGCCAGGTGTAATTATCCGCTGTCGAGTAAATGAGATTAACTTGGCCTCCTGTCCCCCGCTAGGTAATCTAATGATAGACCTTAAAACTGTTCTTTTTTCCTTTTAATGTTTTTGCGAGATTTAGCAACAATTCTCTTATGCATGTTAGGTTTTAGTGCGGCAATTCATTCTGCATTACAGTGCGGATATAAAACAAAACGAAGAAACCCCATTTTAAAAACACGGAAAAAATAGGGTGTAGATCTCTTATAGAAAGACACATGCAGCAGTGTCTCCATGCCTTGGATTGGTACTAAATCTTAGACTTTATAAGCCCACCATGATTTCATTTTCAGAGGCACTAAGCTCGCCGATAAATTTATGCATGAGGTTTCTTAAAACAGCTTTAAAAGTATTGACTCCTGGAGCCACAAACATTTCTGTTGCTCTGAAAAAATCGAGGTCTCCTCCGTAATAATCTCATTATAAACCATTTGAAGTCTCCGTAGGCTTGTTTTTCGATACTTTGCCTTCAAGTGTGCAGTAAACAGAAGTGTTTAGTATGCTCTAAATGGAGACATCTTCATCCTTACATGCAGTAACCTTGGTAAACTTGCATTGCGTATAAATAGCCTTTAAAATAGGTCGTTTGATTTGCAGTTGCTATTAGAGACACTAAGGTTCTTATCAGAAGAAACGGGAATTTGATACAGTTGTCCTCTTTGGCTTTACTAAGAACGCTGTTATAGACATGATATAATTCTCAATATAAGAGACATGAGCTGCTGGAGACCAGTCCTGTAAGATGGATGGCATTTTATTGGAATCAGTGCTGTTATCCATTCTTCCTATTGATCCTTATTGATCCATGATCAGTTTTCTGTGTGCAGTAACAAAGTAAGCTTACACAAATTTCCAGCTGCTTTATCTTTTCCAAATCTGAACACATTGTTTATAGAAAGTAGAAAAAGGACTTGAAATTCTCAGGTGTGCAGAAGCTCTGCTGCCCTGAGTTTGACTTCACTGCTCTGCAGTGTGCAGCTGTCAGAAGTGATTAGCTTGGATGAATGCAATACCAGTGGACTGGACTTTTTTGGAACTGGTTTTGGTTCGTCATGGCTTGATGCTCAAATTATGAAGCAACACAATACAGCTTCAGCCATATGTAAGCATGTAAGGAGTTTCCAAAACCACAGTTCAGTTCATAGTAGGAGTTTGCATTCCCAGTAAAAAGTACTTTGAATCAATATTCACTGAGAACTATGTGACAAACTTTGTGGATGTTTGTGTTAAAATTTAAGTCATTATCTGTAATTGTTAGAGTTGTTACAGCCATCTGCGATGTCTGTTAAATATGTATGCCATGACCTATTTCTTGTGTATACAGTTGATAAATATGAATTTCTTGACCTTTTTCTTTTTTCTTTTTTTATTATTATTGTTTTGGTTTTTTTACAGCTGATGCAGGTGCCATGGCAATAGCCGAGGCATGGGAGTGACGTGACAGTACTTGATGTGCTTCCAAACAAAAACCTTATCAGCATCATGTTTTTCTGCTGAATTAGAGGCAGAACACACAGAGAATGGACGAGTCCGTGTTGTTGGATTTGCTCGAGTGCCCCGTTTGTCTCGAGCGGCTAGATGCCTCGGCAAAGGTTCTTCCTTGTCAGCACACCTTCTGCCGGCGTTGCCTCCAAGGTATCCTTGGCTCACGCGGGGAGTTGCGCTGCCCAGAGTGCCGGACGTTGGTGGATTGTGCCGTGGATGAACTTCCCAGCAACATCCTACTTGTGCGGCTCTTGGATGGAATCAAGCAGAGGCCACGGAGGGTTGGTCCTGGGGCGGCAGTCTGCACAAATGGTACATCTGGAGCCATGGCCAGGGCACATGGAAGTGGATCCCGGGACCAGGGCACCCCGGGAGCACAACCCCAGCGAGCTCAAGCTAAGAGCACCCTCGTCCGGGTTAGTATATTAACTACCTGAGCATGGCTCAGTGAGTACACATCTGTGTTTCCCATTGTTATGGTCAAGCTGAAACAAAACAGAGAAAATCTGTGTGGATTAAAAACAGCATGTTGCATTACTAGCTCTCTAATCCTTGCTGCGGATTAACGGTTATCATGGTGACCCCAAAGCCAGCCAGTTGACTAGCAGCCCAACATTACTGAAGGCAGTGATTGAGAGCAGTTAATAGTTAAGCCACCAAATGATCCTGCACTCTATGCCAACAGTAGATGGACTTACTCCCGTAAGAAGAGCTCGCAGGCCTTTCTTAGTTGCTGACATTGTCATATGCCACAGACAGCCTTCCTCTTGCGATCCCTGCTGCAGTGTTGCTTGTGAAATTCAGGGTGGATCTACAGGGTGGTTGTTTTATCTGCAACACTGAGGGGACTTGTAAAGTGTATTTAGAGCAGAAAGAAAATTGTGAAAGACTTGGAGTCTGTGTTTCCTTAGTTTTATTTAGATACCACTGATGAGACACAGATGACGGTGAAAGAGTGAAAACAACACACAACATTTGTTTCTCAATCTCTAAGCCTAAGAAAACACGAGTTTGATGATGGTTTAATCTTTAAGGGCAAAATAAGCTGTTCAACCTAAGATGGCATGTGCTGTTGTGTCATGCCATATTCAGTGTTTGACATGCAGATTCCCAGACATGGATTATACCTAATCCTAGACTAAATTCTTTACTCTATGGGGATCTTCATTGAATTTTTCCTTTTAGTCTAGGACTAGGATTATCTATGACGAGGAAACTTGCTCATAGACTTTATTTGGGTGGGCTGCCCAGGTCTATGGATGGCTATCCAAGTATATTTTATAAGAAATTTTATTTATTTGACTGCCCCAGACAGCAGTGCAATCAGTTTACTCTCAGACAATCCCCTCACCCTCATTTTGGCGGTGCAGTCTGGTTGCTGTTGTGAAGTCCTCGATGTCATTCACCAGTCAGCAAAAAGTTCTGCCTACAGTTGAGCAGACTTTGACCACCACCTTCTTAAACTACGTTTGATGACTACAGACTGTTTATTTTAAAGCAAGTGCACATTTAACTCATTTCAGTTCCGATACAATGCTGAGGTATCTGCATCAGGTAATGATCAGATACCTGTGTTAATTTAATCAGCTAAAGTTCTCACTCTGAGGAAGATGGTGGAAATTAATCTTTTACCTGTAGGGGAGCATTAGCTTGACTTACACGTTACTTTGTAATAACCTTGTAAAAGTATTGGTGTTGATTAGTAAAATGATAAATGAGAACAGGACCAAGATAAATAATTTTTTTATAAATATGGTCACGTTATTGATTTAATTTATTTTCACTGGTCACATTTAAGGTTGGTGTTAAGAGTCATTAAGCTGCTTCATACTGCTGTCATTCATAGTTGTGCTAGTTTCTGCTTTACTCCCTCTCAGTCTAAGTGGTCATCCTTGCTGCTCCTCACACACAAACACACATCATCTGTGGAGCAGAGCTGTCAAAAGACAGGTGAAATTAAATGACAGCGTTGACAACAGTGTATTATGTCATTGTAAGTTCAGCAAAAGCTTCCCAGCAAGAGTTACACTAAACCTATAGAGAGCGAGAAAGAGCTGACAGAAAGTCTGTCAGTGTAAGAATATATACTGGAATATACTTCCAACCTTTTTATCCTTTGTTGTAAACTTCCTGCACGCTGTAATGCCTCTGCTTCTGCTGACTCAAAGTGTCATAAAAAACAGATCTGGTGTGTTGTCACTGATATGCAATATCAGATCAGCACATCCCTATTCACTGTCACAGTGGGCACATGGTATTTATTTATCAATTAACGTAAAACAGCATAACTGTGCCTCCTTAACATGGTTGTGCAGCCCTTTCCTTCACACTAGCACTCGTAGAATCCAGCGGGAAATAAAAAAAATGCAATTTTTCTTCATAAAGTGTTGTGATTTATGCTATTTATGCTTTTCTCCAAGCTGCCCAGGCCTATTTACTATACAATGACATGTGATGTGTGTTTTAAAATATGTTTTAATTAACAAATTCTCTTTAGATTCTACATACACCCTTCTAAATACACCCATGACAGACCCGTGGGCCTTTCTTTGAACAGCTCTGGTCTCCACGAAGGGAGGATTGGGTAGATGAAAAGATGTCAGGGTCTTGTGTAGAATCACTGGAATGTCAAAGCTCTGATAATGTAGCTGCCGAGCCATGCAGGTATGAAGATCAGAGGCCTTGCTGTAAATTGCTGCTGGGGGACCCGCCTCATTTGCCAAAGTATCACTTCAGAGCTTTTGTGCTCATTTCAAAGCTGTTTGTGCTTTTTGGAATTTCCCCTCAGTGCTGAAAAGCCTGTTTGTTACAAAAAAAAGGGGGAGAGCGAGAGATGGTCATTCGAAACTAATACACTGATTCCCCTTTGAGGGTATGCTGCCCATGTCATCTATGAATACGTTTTTCTATTTTCTGAGCACTTCTATAGATTTTTCACAGTGTCATACTATTGACTAATGACCTCTCTCAAGTCTGCTCTCCTAAGGCCCTGTGCTGATAACAGAGAACAAGAAAAGACATGGCAGTGCAGGTGTAACATTTTCACAACATAAAAGCCAGAGATCAAAGCTCTCACTGATCTCTGGTCGGTGCTCCTTGGGGACTGAGCTGCCTCACTGCCCCCGGGTGACACCCTCAGTCCCACTTCTTTTTTTCTTTTCTTTTTTTTCTTTTTTTGTTCCCCTGGATTTTTTTTTTTTTTTGGGGGGGGAGAGATCTTTCAAGGCTTGATGCGGCTCTTGTGCCATTCCTCTGTTGAGGGAGAGCTCCACCTCCAATTCTTATATAGCCAGAGAATGGCTCTGATTGGGGACTGCCTGACAGATGCACAACAGGGTTTTGTTTCGGGTCGCGTCTGATCCTAGTGACTGACCGACACATGTAGAGAGTGTGTGTGTGTGTGTACACGCGCGCATGAACGGAAAGGCCACCAGTAACAGAAACTGATGAGTGTTAAGTGAAGGCGTTAGGACCAAATGGGACAAATGTTTCGGCTTTCTGCCCCTCCGCTTATCATCTCCGGGGTTGCAGCAGTTGTTTGACACGGCAGCCTGGCATTTCTTTGATGAGAGGATTGAAAAGGCTCATCTTGAATGTAGCTCTGTGGTTGTCTGGGCCCTCGCAGTCAGGTTGATGACTCACCTCCGTGGTGCTCCGTTACATGAGTGTTTTGTCTGCCTTTCTCGCTCGTTGACTCGTATAACATAGTATTTTGTTCATGTGGATTGAGAACAGATAACTCCTATGTTTTTGTTTTGTTTTGTTTTATGCATGAGAGCGAGTAAAGCTATTGGATCTGTCTGGAAGTCAAAGGTCAGGGTTCAGGTGTCATAGCAGTTGGGTCAGAGCAAAGGAAGGAGAGAGGGGAAGAATCGGAGAGAGTTTTTAGTGAATATCTTCAGCTATCATTGTCTCTCTCTGGAGAGTTGAGCCTGCACTGAGAGTATAAAAATAGACTGTCTTTCATGATAATTTCTGCCTTTGTCATAAAACTGTCAGAGTTAATTTTTAATTCAGTTCTCCACTCTGCATTAACTACAGTTTGGAGGCTACATTTAGGAGGAAAATACATACAAATGATTCTTGTATCTTTTGTACGCTATGAAGGATTTGAGTGTTTTTCTTTATGAGTGTGTGCGTGTCATTATGTGATTAGCTGATGTGAAGTGAAACAATATACTTTCCTGACCTTTTTGGGATGTAATTAGGTCGTTGTCTCTTCTTTGGTAATGAGGGCTGCCTTTTCCTTTTTATAGGCCTGGTGTGTTTGATAGCCTTTTCTTCCTGGCATTATCTCACATTGTCCTCAAGGATTAATTCTAAACACACAGGAAGCAAAGTGCAGCCTTCTAATTTAGTATTATTTTGCCTGTTGTCTAATATCTAGGTACCCACAGGACATTGGAAAGCGTTTTTGTTCCTCAGTTATTTTTGTAATAAAGTTGTGGCGTGTTCTGTCTCTTTTGTAGTGGATTTATTTCTTCAGAGAAAAAGAATGCTGTTTATGGGTTCCTTATGTAGAGAGATGTCATTAAAATTCCTGTGCACCTCCCTCGTCTGAGGTCGATGAGTCACGCTGGCGGTCTTTGATGACATCATATTGTTGTTGAGGCCTTTCCTCTTGGCCGGCTGGCTGACCTCTGCCTGCGCGGCTGAACCCCTTCATTACACCCTCACGCTGCCCACATACTGCAAACACATACTTACTGCTTTCCACTGGGAATTTTTCAAGAGGGCTTTGGTCTGTTCATTCCAGCTCTCTCAACACGCTCACACTTTTCTCTCGCCTCCTCTATATTTCCCACGCAGGTCTGCAAGTAGTTGCAACCTTCTGGACAGGGCATGCCGGGATTTTAGAGCCACCTGTAATTTTCTCTTATGAGCCACTGACACCAGCTGAGTTTTATTTTCTTTTTTGCTATATTGCTTCCATGTACCTCCTCCTCCCTCCTCACTGTCTTAATCTGTGCTGAAGCCTGTTAAAGGACTAATGAGATTAGAGTTTATTAGACACTGAGTCGGCTCTGCTCCCCGTTCTTTTACTCCCTGTCTCAAAGTGCTTTCTCAAAGGGAATTTTTGGGTCTGTTTATGATGTTTTAAGGTCTTGACCTTCCTATGTAAAGTGCTCTGTTAGGACTTTGGGATTTGGCGTTATATAAATTGAATTGAATTACTTTTGACTGCTGACTTTCATTCCTAGGAAACAAACAGTTGCTATCTAGTGAAGTAATCAGCGTGTCTTCATCTCTGGTTCCCACTGTGTATCTTTTAATACTCATCTAATGCACTTCATATTTTTTATAGTTTTTATACTTGTCCTTTTTTTGACTTTTGCACTGCTACAAAGATGGATGCTCATATTAAACACGAGCTTCGTGATTGTTCAGGATTCAGCTTGCTCTCAGTGTTCAGTTT